AAACGTATACATATTAATTCATCTTTTGATTCTTTCACCTTAAACTTGACGCATAAGTTATGTTAATTGATAGTCTTTTATGGTTTCTTGTGATTGGTGAATAGCAAGGGAACTTGGCGACTACGGATACGAGCTGTGAGTCAGTGGTTACAAGTGGTCAGCACCATTTGACCCCTCAACATCAGCCTCGTGATGCTAGCCCTGCTGGGTAAGCTGATTGAAAATCACTAAACAAAATGGAAATAAATAAAACTTTTACAAAATCTTTAAGAAAATAGACTAATTAATTAACACAAGAACATTTTTCTACTTTCTCTTTCACATTAATTCAATATTTTCTCTAGCCGAAAAGGCTTATAATATTTTTGTTACAACACTTAATATTCATAGTGTCTTTCTTCAGACTTTTGTCCATTGCGGATGAAACTTTAACAGAGTTCATTTCTAAGGCCACTGGAACCGCAGTCGAATGGGTCCAAATGCCTGGGATGAAGGTAACTAACTCACATAACTCTCTACCACTCTAGCTTGTGTCTTTGTCTACACTATTCAATCTTCATTGTTTTACTGACTAATGAATTTTGCAGCCTGGTCCGGATTCCATTGGAATCGTTGCTATTTCTCATGGATGCACGGGAATTGCTGCTCGTGCTTGTGGCCTCGTGGGTCTTGACCCAACAAGAGTTGCAGAGATCCTAAAAGATAAGCCTTCTTGGTTGCGTGATTGTAGATCTCTTGATATCGTTAACGTCCTCTCCACTGCAAACGGTGGAACACTCGAACTAATTTACATGCAGGTACTAATGAATAACAATTAAGAAACTACAAGAATCATATCAAAACAATGCATCAGAACATAACTAAAAGTTTCTCTTGTTTCTTTTCTTTGTTAAGCTATATGCACCGACAACGTTGGCACCAGCTCGTGATTTCTGGATGCTACGTTACACATCTGTAATGGAAGACGGGAGCCTTGTGGTATATTATCTTAACACCTATGTTTTTTTTATATATTTTTGATCAATGGATGATAATATTAAATTAACTGATGCAGATATGTGAACGGTCGTTGAACAATACACAAAACGGGCCAAGTATGCCACCATCTCCTCATTTCGTCAGAGCAGAGATTTTACCAAGTGGATACCTCATTAGACCCTGTGAAGGAGGTGGATCCATTCTTCACATTGTTGATCATTTCGATCTTGAGGTACAAAAACCTTCACTATCTATATCATTTCTTCAATGTAAATTACATTTATTTCTTGGCACACAAGAAAGTGAAGTGTTTCCTCTATTACTTAATCTGGTTGGAATCTTTTGTAGCCATGGAGTGTGCCAGAAGTTCTTCGTTCTCTTTATGAGTCTTCAACGTTACTCGCTCAAAGAACTACCATGGCAGTAAGATTTAGAATATACCTAATTAGTATTTGAAATAATCTCAACGTTTGTTCTTGAAAGATATTATGTAAGAACTTATGGTGTCTTTTTACAACAGGCTCTACGCTATTTGAGACAAATATCTCAAGAGATTTCACAGCCTAACGTATCTGGTTGGGGAAGGAGACCAGCGGCTCTTAGAGCACTTAGCCAAAGACTCAGCAAGTAATTAAAGCTTCTCACACTCCACCGTTAATAAACACTTCAAAACTCGTGTTCTATAACCTAAACCTAATTTGTTTTTTATATTCTCCAGAGGATTCAACGAAGCAGTCAATGGGTTCAGCGATGAAGGCTGGTCGATGCTAGAGAGTGATGGTGTAGATGATGTTACTCTTCTTGTGAACTCCTCTCCCACAAAGATGATGATGACTTCAAGTCTCCCATTTTCCAATGGCTTCACTTCTATGCCTAGCGCTGTTCTTTGTGCCAAAGCTTCCATGTTATTACAAGTAAGTATATATCATAAAATCTTATAGTTCAGATTCTTAGTTTCATCCTTTTGTTTTGTTATTAAGAATATTTTTTTGTTTATGTAGAATGTTCCACCATCAATTCTTTTAAGGTTCTTGAGAGAACATAGGCAAGAATGGGCAGACAATAGCATTGATGCATATTCAGCTGCAGCAATCAAAGCAGGGCCTTGTAGCTTACCAATCCCTCGTCCAGGGAGCTTTGGTGGTCAAGTCATTCTTCCTCTAGCTCACACCATAGAGAATGAAGAAGTAAGTGAACTAAGACTAATGGATCCTCAATATGACAATATACTAGTTTAATTTGTGAAGGTAAAAAAAAAACTTAATTCATTTTTCTTCTCTCTGTTTTTGGCAGTTCATGGAAGTGATTAAGCTTGAGAGCTTGGGGCATTACCAAGAAGATATGATGATGCCTGCTGATATCTTTCTTCTGCAAGTAAGACCTTGTTTCAAACTTTCTTTTGTGTTTATGTTTGCATTTACTCATGAAAAAACAGATATTTCAACTTAATTAAAAAATATATATATATTACCTCTTTAAGAAAAAGTACTAATGATTGAGACCAAGTCTCTGCCTCTGATTATCTTTCTTTTTTTTTAGGTTTGAGTTTCTTCTGCTTTTCAGTGATTCATACTTTTGCAACTAATTTTTCTTATGATCCTTATATATTTTTATGGTTTGATGATTTAGATGTGCAGTGGAGTGGATGAGAACGCAGTTGAATCGTGCGCAGAGCTTATCTTTGCACCTATTGACGCCTCTTTCTCTGATGATGCCCCAATCATTCCTTCTGGCTTCCGCATCATTCCCTTAGATTCTAAATCGGTATGTTTCAATTCATATTAGAAGTATAATGAACAACATATATCAAATCCAAGACTAATCAAATAAAAATGTTTATAGGAGGGCTTGAGTCCAAACCGAACGCTAGACCTAGCATCAGCTCTAGACATAGGGAGCAGAGCAGCCGGGGACTCATGTGGAAGCAGAGGAAATACAAAGTCAGTGATGACAATAGCGTTTCAGCTAGCTTTTGAGATGCATATGCAAGAGAATGTAGCCTCAATGGCTAGACAATATGTGAGAAGTGTGATCGCCTCGGTCCAACGGGTCGCGCTTGCTCTCTCTCCTTCTTCTCATCAGCTAAGTGGAGGCCTGCGTCCACCACCAGCATCACCTGAAGCTCACACACTTGCTCGTTGGATTTCTCATTCGTATAGATGTTACCTTGGCGTTGAACTACTTAAACCTAACGGAAATGATCTTTTGAAGTCTCTTTGGCACCATCCTGATGCACTCATGTGTTGTTCACTCAAGGTCAGTTTTCTCTTACTTTGTATATGTAAGAAATAAAATTGTGAAAAATAGTGAATTAATGTTTAGGTGCTTTTGACACTATAAAAAGTTTAAATGTATGATTCGGGCCTTGAGATTATTGATGACAACAGTACATGCTTTTTAAAAAATAATATGTTTTCTAACGAGGAAAGTGGACTGGTTTGATCATTTGCAGGACTTACCGCCGGTATTCACATTTGCGAACCAGGCTGGTTTAGACATGCTGGAGACGACGTTGGTGGCACTTCAAGATATCACTCTCGAGAAAATCTTCGACAACAACGGGAAGAAGACGTTCTGCTCCGACTTCCCTCAAATCATGCAACAGGTACGTAAAACTGAGCTTAGCATAATATAAATAGTTCAAGTTTGATGAAACATTATTCTTTTTTTTTTTTTTTTTTTTTGATGAAACATT